TAAAACTCAACGGTAAAAAATAATTCAATTAGGAAATGGGCAAAAGATATAAACAGACATTTTACCAAGGAGGATATACAGATGGCAAATAAGTACGTGAAAAGATGTTCAATATCATTAGCCACTAAGGAAATGCAAATTAAAATCACCATGAGATACCACTACAGACCTATCAGAAAGGCTAAAATGAAACACAGTAACAACACTAAATGCTGGCGAGGATGTGGAGACACTAGATTCACTCCTACGTTTTGGTGGGGATGTAAAATAGTCCACCCACTTTGGAAAACAGTTTGGCAGTTTCTTAAAAAACTAAACATGTCGGGGCTGCCGCGGTGGCACAGTGGTTAAGTATGCATGTTCCACTTAAGCGGCCCGGGGTTCGCTGGTTTGGATCCTGGGTGCGGACATGGCACCATTTGGCATGCCATGCTGTGTTAGGCGTCCCACATATAAAGTAGAGGAGGATGGGCACGGATGTTAGCTCGGGGGTAATCTTCCTCAAAAAAGAAAAGAAAAGAAAAGAAAAACTAAACATGCCACTACTATACAAACTAGCAAGTGAACTCCTGGCATTTATCCCAAAGAAATGAGGACTGTGTTCACATAAAACTTGCACATGAATATTTATAGCAGCTTTATTTGTAGTAACCCCAAACTGCAGACAACCCAAACATCCTTCAACAGGTTGATGGTTAAACAAACTGTGGCACGTCAATACTGTGGTATACTACTCAGCAATAAAAAGGAACAGACTACTGATACATGTAACAACTTAGATGAATTTCCAGATAATTATGCTGAATTAAAAAAAGGTAATCCCAAAAGGTTGCATACTGTGTGATTTTATTTATATAACATTTTTTTTTTTTTTTTTTTTTTTTGCCGAGGAAGATTTGTCCTGAGCTAACCTCTGTGCCAACCTTCCTCTTTTTGCTTGAGGAAGATTTTCCCTGAGCTAACGTCTGTGCCAGTCGTCCTCTATTTTGTATGTGGGTCACTGCCACAGCATGGCCACCAACAAGTGGTGTAGGTGCACACCCAGGAACTGAACCTGGGCTGCCAAAGTGGAGCGTGCCAAATTTAATCACTAGGCATGGGGCTGGCCCCTATATAACATTCTTGAAATGGCAAAATTATAGAAATCAAGAACAGACTAGTTGCCAGAGGTTAAGGAGGAAATGGGGGCAGGAGGGAGTAGATGTGGCCATAAAAGGGCAACATAAGGGCTCCTGTAGTGGTAGAAATGTTCTGTACATTGACTCTATCAATGTTAATATGCTGGTTGTGATATTGTAGTATAGTTTTGCAAGATGTTGCCACTGGGAAAAACTGGGTAAAGGGTACATGGGATTTCTGTATTATTTTTTATAACTACATGTGAATCTATAATTATCTCAAAAGAAAAAGATTAATTTTTTTAAAAGCAGTGTAAGAAATTGAAAGGGAAAGGGTAGTGTAACTTGAATACATAAAACTTTTACCTTCTATAGATCAGAAAATACCACAAAGTTGAAAAGCCAACACTAAACTGGAAAAATATTTGTAACAAATATGACTGGAAAGAAGTTAATATCTTTAATATATAAAAAGTTCTATAACTAATTTAGAAAACACTGATATCCTCCTATATAAGCAGTGCACAGAATAAAAGAAAATGCGACTGGCTACAAAACATGAAAAAGTATTTGTCTCACTAGTAATCAAGGAAATGAAAATTGGAATTCCTTTTCTCCTCCAAATTGCTAATCTTCATTATATAATCTTGTTCCCAAATAAGGTAAAATCTTTATCACATTTATTTTCTATCTACCTCTTAGGTGGTGTTGAAATTATGTGGAATTTTAACTACAAGTGTTATTAACTTTTAAAGATGTTAGCCTTTTCTGTTTTGAGTATTTCATAGCAATGGCGTTAAATTTCTAATCACATTATCAATAATTATTTTACATTGATAATTCTGACTCACTGTTTACCATTTTTTTATATACAGTATTTTGTGTTTTTTAAATTTTAAAATTTTTTAAATTGTAGTAACATTGGATTATAACAATATATAACTTTCAGATATACAGTATCTTGTTTCTTAAATTTAAATTTTTGATTAATTTTTATTTGTCAGAATACTTCCTTAAGTACCCACCTGCCCCCATAGAGTGGTGTACTCTGTACTTGGATATCTACAAGATCATTTTTCACCTTTATATAAATAATTGTTTGGCTGGGTATAAAATTATATGATCATGCCATTTTCCCTTATAAATCTGAAAATATTGCTTCATATTCTACTTTCATTTGATCTTGAAAATGAGAAATCTTATCCCAGTCTCTTTTTCTCAGTGGACAGCCTGTTTTTCGTTAGTTAGCTAGTTTTCTGTCTAGAAATTTGTATTCTTTTTATACTTAAAACTTTGAATTTGTGCAGGTTCATTGGCATATGTCTGAGTGCATATGAAGGTGTGGATTTTTCATAGTATTTTTGCCTAGCATTTAGAGTCTTCCGTCTGAACACTCAAGTCTTTCTTCAGCTGAAGGATATTTTCTTTTTTAATTTCTTTAGTTATTGTTTCCATTTAACCTATGCTGCCCTCTCATTCTAGAATTCTAGTAATTCTGAGATTGGATATCCTGAATCAGTCTTCCATGCAGCTTATCTTTTTTCTCATAATTTCCGTTTCTTTGTCATTTTTATCTTTGTCCTAGGAGACTTCCTCAACTTGGATTTCTAATGTGCTGATTTGGTTTTCAGCCATGTCCATTTCAATGTGCTGTTTTCTTCCTCTATTAAGTTTAAATGTTTTTTGTGATTATGACTTTCTAATAACTCTTTCTTATTTCCTCTTTCCTCCTTTTAAAAAAAATATATTGAAGCCTGGTTGGTTTTATCAATGCAAAATCCTTTTGGATGTTACTGGAAATATCAATTTGAAGTCGACTGACATTAACTCCTATTTTCCGCGTTGTCTATTTTGTAGGGGCTAGTTACATAGTATGCTTAGTTTGGTTCCCCTGTTTAAACTGCTGATTTCCTCGGAAGACCAGTGAGTTTTTGTTGCTTGCTCATATTTTTAATGAAGTTCTTGAGTAACCAGTAGCGTTGGTTGATATGGGCTACCACACCACTTGTGAGAGTCATACGGTGTGATTTTCCTCAGCAGGCCGCCCCTCTTAACCAAAGCAGATAGCCGTGGAAGTCCAAAGGTAAACTTTGTTCTTGGTGTGGGGAGAAGGCAAGAACATGCCAGAAAATGGACTTCTCTTAAGCATTCAGTGGCTGGGAGCTAACTAGCAAGTAAGCTTCCCCAGCCCCTGCCCTTGACCAAGGACGCTGAGGGCCTTGGGTAGCTAAGCTCCTTTTTACCTAACATTCCGTCCACAGTAAGTTGAGCCTGGGAATTAAGACTGCATTGACAAGATTCTGAACATCCTGTTGTCAGTGATGGTCAGGATGTGATAAGATGGACAGTTTTTTACGTCACTGATAGAACTAAAATTTTTTACCATTCTTCTGGAAAGTAATTTGGCAGAGTATGAAAAAAAGCTTTTAAAATGTTGATACCCTTTGATCTAGTTTCCATATTTCTAGAAGTGTGTCTTAAAGAAATAGGGAAGTGGACATGAATTTATATTTGGAGATCTTAATTGCTATGTTACTTATAATAAAGGAAAATTTGAAAGAATCTAAATGACTTACAGAAGAGGCATGGTATATAGCAGTTATGTAGCTGTATCGTGGGATATTTTGCAGCCAGCTTTAAAATGCCTAATGACGTGGAGAAATGCTCATGATACGGTGAATGACAAAAATCAGGGTATACCGTTTTATACACAGTATGATCCTTTATTAAAAAAGAAAAAGACAAAAATATATGTTTATATATGATAAAAAGGTCAGAAGTAATACAACAAATCACTATTGGTGGTGGGATTCTAGGTGATTTGTGTTTTTAAAACTTGTCTGTATTTTTCAGATTTTCTACACTGATTCTTTGTGACTTTTATAATTAGAAAAAAATAGTAAATGTAAAAATGTCTCTCCACACTCTACACTGCACCAAAAAAGACCCCTGCTTTTCAGAATTTGTAGGCAAAACGTGGTTTATGTTGGGGTTGAATTTGCCAATTATCATAATGTGCAAATGGATTTTGAATTCTCCAGCTTTCCACATTGTGTAGTGAGCACGGCTGCTGTTGCCAGCACTGGCATATGAGCTCCAGCACGGCCCATCTGCTGCTCAGGCTCAGCTTGGCTGACACAGATTTATTTCATTTCGTTCTTTAATTTGGCAACATATTCTCTATTCTCATTGTCATAGCTGGGATTCAGTACCAGTATTACTCATTTTGTTTACCATTTTGTTGTTTTCTTTTGTTCCATTTTGTGAAGACGAAGAAGCCAACAATGGGAATTCTGTCTTGTGAAAATGCAGTGCTTGTCCTTTGGGATCTTGGGCATGTCTTGCTAAAGTGCTCTCTATTTCTGACACTTGCAAGCCATTTCAATCGTTTTGAGAAGTAGAAGGCTTCATGGTGTATTTTTCAAAGAGCTCAGCATTCCTTTCCTCCTCCACCCCTCCCTGCCAGGAAGATTTGGAAGTGGTTCCAAATAGAAATTATAAACATTAGCCTTGAGCTGTGCTCTCTCCATCTGGTGTTTGGTACTTTTTTTTTTTTTTTTACTGAAGGCTCATGTTGTTTGTTTAATCTTCATCACTACTGCAGTAGCTGAGGTGTGAGGCTTACACTCTGCCCCAAGCAACCTGCACTTAAGAAGGGATTTTCATCTGAATTGGTTTGTATTTCAAAGAGCACTGGGATAGTCAGCCAGATGCCTAAGAATTTGCTCAAGTGAAACTTTAGAATTCTTAGAGTCGTCTTAAGAGATTTCTTGGATTTGTTGGGATAGGATGGCTACTGTCTCAGAAGCCTCTTTGAGCCTGACACTTTATTTATTTTCAAGAGACATTCTTTTTAAGACTTTGTGCTACCTTTCTCTCTAGGTTACCCTGAAGAGACTTACCCAGTTTATGACCTTTCAGATTGCATCAAGCGTAGGCAAGAAACAATCCTGGTGGATTACCCTGACCCACAAGAGCCCTCTGCTGAAGAAATAGCTGAAAGGATGGGCGTGCTAGAAGAAGCAGCAGCAGACCATTTAGGGTGGGAAATGCCCACTGACCCCAGAGCCCAGGAAGAGAATTCTTTTACCTCATGTGACCCAAAGCCAGAAACATGTTCCTGCTGTTTTCCTGAAGAAGAGGATCCTGCTGTGTTGGCAGAGAATGCTGGATTCAGTGCAGACAGTTACAGCGAACAAGAGGAAGCCGCCAAAGAAGTATGGCCCCAAGACTTCAGAGATGAAGGGCTGGGCATCAGCGCTGATAAAGCATATACAGGTGGCACGCTGAGGAAGCGGAACCCCCAGGGTTTAGAGTGAAAACAGCCAGTTTGATAAAGCATCCATTACTCTAGTCCTAAGGTGACCTTTCTCTCCTCTCTCAGATTTCATCCTTGGCCCTGTGCCTTGTACTTCATTCTCTATGTTTAAATATCATAGCCAGTCAGGCCACTACCATGGATATCCTGTATCCATCCTGGTGCTCACACGCCTGTCACCTTGTAAAACATCATAGGGATTAGTATGAACACAAGACAGCCTCCCTCCTTCTCTTCCTGCCTTTCCTCCGTCAGAGTTGATCCACTGAGTAGTTTTGTTTGATCTATTGTAATTACAGATGGGACCACTCAGGGCAGAGGTCCGACTCTTCGTGCTAGGAGTCACAGATGGTTTACCTTTGAGCGAACATCAGCTTACACATGATGAGGACTTAAGGTTGCAAGAGGGAAGATTTCAGAGTCCAAGATGCCTTATTCTGTGGGCCTTGAGCAGGTTAGTGGTCCCCCAGGTTCAAGAAGAGGACATTTTGTTTGTGGGGATGATGGGGCCAGAGCAGGGTAAGACTCTGCTGTCTGAGCTGAAGCCCCTTTGCACAGTGAGGGCCTTTTTAGGAGCACTGATGCTGCCTCAGATAGTCGCTTTTCTCCAGAGTAGCAGAGACTCTCACTGACCTGAGAATAAGCCCAGAGGCCTGTTGGGGAACTGTTTTGCTCTGATATTGCCTGAATCTCTAGCTTCCTTTATCCCTGTTCTGCTTAACAGAACTGCCAAATCCAGAAGCACCTTTGTACCTCTGGTCTTCAGTGGCCAGAGAAAGCTTTAGACGGAGACTTTAGTCTTTGCCCTGCAGAGCCAAGATTTGAGGCTGTTGAGGCTGCAGGAAAGCCTGCCCGAGGCTGATGGTCCTGCTCTGAGATACTCAGAAGGCCAGAGGACCAGTGACAGGGAGAGAAGCCTTGCGCTTAAGGACAAGTCCTTGCCTAGAAGCTATTTCTGCATGTTGTGTTCTCTGGGAAATTTGTTCTCACAACCACATGAACTGAAACAGAAATGAGAAGGACTGAGGCTGTAGACAAAGTGCCAGCCCAACAGGGAAGTTACAGCGTGTCTGTTGCAGAGAACCACTATAGCAGTGCCCAGGGGAAGAGACCATTTGTTCTCTGTTTGGATATCTGGGTCCTTTGAGAGAGCTGGGGTCAGCAGGAGGTAGGTTAGGACTGGGAGGATTTTGACCAAACTAAAGGCTTAATCTCTAAGCTGGCATCTGTCATGTGTCTCCTTGAGACAGGATGGCACCCATGAATTCCATCCAGTAAGGACGAGTTCCCAGTTTACATGTATGACCTGAAAGTTTAAAGAGGACACATTCCCGAGGACATTCCCAGTCATGAAGTGGGGAGATTTGAAAATTAAGAGATTATGTAAAGGTAGATATGGCTTTTAGAGTTCATTGTGCTGACATGAGTAAGATGTCAGAAAATAGTTTGTCACACATAAGCATACAGACTGCTGGCAGAAGGTATGGGGTCATAGGAAGGTAATGTGTCAGCTACTCCTAGGCATTTCTGGTTAATGAACTACAGGGAAGTCATTGAAGGTGGAGTCTATACAAAGTATATTGCATCGGTCTCTGTGTGGAACATGTGATTCACTCGTAAAGAATGCAGTTGAAAATGTACTGAAAACAATTGAGATGTAATGTAATGCTAAAGGTAAAAAGTAATGTAGGTGCTCTTTACTGTTTTGAGAAATTGTTTTCTGCTGTTTCCCTTCATTCACCACGAAGGGTTGATTTATGAGGAGAGTCCTGGGTCCCTTGCTCAAACTTCTTTGTGCCCTTAGGATATGGTTCCCTTATTAGAGATACGTTTGTTTCCTTCTAGCTTATTCATTCATCTGGTAGACACTGCTTAGAGCTAGTCAGTGGGAACAGAAGGCTCAATTCTTCCCTTTAAAAACTTAAAACTTAGTTTAATGTGGAAGCCTTACCCAATTCATTTTTTTAGATGAACTATAAACTATAAAAGGGCTCAGGATTGTGAATTCTGCAGGCAAGGAAATGTCGGTCATGATTCCATCCCTGCCTATTGTAGCTGTAGAATGTCGTTGGCTCCTTAGCCCTTCTGAGCCTTGGCTTTCTTGTCTCTAAAACAGAGAGGGTAAGAGTCCAGGTCTTACAGGGTGCTTATGAGAATTAAATGAAATCATCAGTGCCTATAAGACAGCACTCAGTGACTGGTGACTACTTTATTTGTACAAGGTGTTAGGCTCTCATTGAGAGATGGACCCAAAGCTACAGGAGCACAAAGAAACAGATCATTTTTGCCAAAGTATTTCCAAGAAACTTACGGGCGGGATGGGGGGGGTGTAGTGGAGGGTGGCGGGTCTTGAGCAAGTTAAGAACTTCTCTGGGTGGGCAATGAAGAGAAAGGATTCTTGGCAGAAAGACTTGTATTGGAGAAAGCAGTGGGGTATGAAAGTATATGGTTGTTCAGGTATTTTGATGAGGCTGGTATGTAATTACAAAACAAACTCTTTATTTTGAATGTTAACCTTTGGGGGAAACTGGCTTATGGAAGTAGTTCCTGCCAGAAGTACTAAGACCTCAGGATGGCTTTTGCTGCCCTAGTTCTTGGTTGGTTTATATAGCAGGACTATATTTATATTTCAGAAATTTTGACATACTTTTCAATCATCATTTCAGATTAGACAGTCCTTTGTGGACCTCACAGAATTATTTTATCCTTCAGGAATGACAGTTATGTGTTTATACAACCCAGGATGACCAAAATCATGGGACTGGTTTTTGTTGTCATGTCTGCTGTCTCTTTCCTCATGGTCTTCATTTCTCAGAACTGGTCTGGGCTCTGAACTTGATCAGTCCCCTGGCATTGGGTCTGCATTGACTTTTGGGTGCTGTGGCAGAGCACAGAGTCATAGCTCTGGGGGCAGAGAGTTGGCCTAGGAAACACCTGCATCCCCTGGGACCATGCCTCGTAAATCAGGTATGTGATCCAGCCAGATCCCATGTCGTAACAGGAGCACAAGGACAGCACCTCGTTAGCTCCAGGATTTGTGATGGGTCAGCTCCAAAAGCTAGGCCCAGGGAGGTGCGTTGAGGAGTGGAGGCGTACTTGGCCTGTAGAAGAGATGGCCTGTAGGAACCACACTCTGCACCTCTTATGACTTGGGTGATAAACAACTTATGGTCCAAACTGGGACACTTTGAGAAAAGGGAGCTTTAATAATAATCATGCCAGGATAATAGATGTAAACCGGGACTATCCTGGACATATGGTCACCCTATCCATGGCCGTTTAAAAGATTTGTCCTTAATGTGAACACTAAACAACAAAAATCTCTTTCCTTTTTAGTAATACCCTGCATAGGCTGCTTCCTGCTGAGGCAGAGCCAAGGAGCTAGGCCATGGTTCAGGCAGGAAATGCTACTGGACACACAAAAACTCTAAATCTGGGGTAATAAATAAATCAGCCTACTTACAACAACACTCTTAAATTCCTTCTCAACCCAAACTCAATACTTCAGCTATCCAGCAATATTGAGAAGAAACATGAAGTCTCCATGAATTTGCCTTGACCTTTTATTTTGTGTGAGGAAGACTGGCCCCGAGCCAGTCTGTTGCCAATCTCCCTCTTTTTGCTTGAGGTAGATTGTTACTAACATCTGTGCCAAGCTTCCTCTATTTTATGTGGGATGCTGCCACAGCGTGGCTTGATGAGCGGTCCTCGGGGTATGAACCTGAGAACCCCGGGGTGCCGAAGCAGAGTGCATGAACTTAACCCCTATGCCACCGGGTCGGCCCCTGCCTTGACCATTTTTATACAGATCTTCCTAAAATGTACCTAACCTTTCCTTTTTTCTTATACAGAGAAAATAGAACAAATTTCTCCTTTTTCTTAAATCATTCCTTAACTTCTCTGAGCACCAATTTCCTCCCTTATGAATTGGGAAGAATACCCACCTTGCAAAGCTGTTAGGGTTAAATGAGATACTGTTTATAAAGTGTCCCAGGATGTAGCATGTGCTAGGTGCTCGTGACAGCATCATCCTTGTCATCAAGTCCTGTGCTGCTGGGCTGTTACACTTGACACCCTCCAAGGCTACCTTGACTGCCCGGAATGGCTCAGCGCACAGGGTTCCGCAGTCTCCAGGTAACTTTAGCTTTGACCTCCTCCCTCAGCATCAGACTGTTAGCTTTCATGTCTGCGTCCAGCCACAACTGCAGCCTCCCTTGCTCATGGCTCCAGATCTGACACAGGCTGAAAAGAAAATCCCCAAGTCTGTCCAAGTCCTGTGTAAATTGGTTAGGCTCTGCATAGGGCCAGAGGAATCAAGTGGCTGGGTCTTCATGTTATTACTACTACCTTGGCCTTCTCGCCTTTTTCAGTTCTTTGGCCCTGTTTTTGTTCCCAAGGGCCAGGCCTACAGTGGGGTACGTAGGAACCAACAACCCATTCTTCCAGTTGGCACAGCTGACCCTGCAGAGGATTGCTCAGACTTAAGTACCTTGTATCCTTCCCATCCTTCCAGCCCTTCCCAGCCTCTACATGTGGTTCTGACCATCCTTCGACATCAAGAACCTGGCCAGAGGGAGGACAGTTTCAGCACACGTGTCACTGTAAACAAGCTGTGATCCCCTTGTTACCACCACCCTCTCACCCACCCTGAGAGTCTTAGGACGGAAGGAATGAATGGTGTAGGAAAAAAAACTTCTACGTAAGAAATGTGTTTTTTCCTCCTTTTATGGGAAAAAAAAGTACACCGCAGTGTTGAAACAGTTCAAGTTTAATTAGTTGATATACGGTCTGTACTTAGACAAACACTAAGTTCTACAACATACATAATGTCAACATGGGAAAATACCAACTTTGTCATTGCACATACCAGTAAATAAATACATTTGCTCCAGAATACCAAAGAGTTTATTCAAAAAAGTCACTTAATAAAAGCGCAGTTTTGCAAGTTCATCTAAAACTCCAGATAATTTTGAACAAAAATAAAATGTCTGATCACTCCAAAATAGGAAAAGACAATCTTGTGCAAATAGACATACACATTCTAGGCATTATGAAAACTGGCTAAATGTATGCTCCCAGCAAGAGAAGTGTCACCCATCCTGACCAAGCCCCCTTTGTCACCAAATGCAGGATTAAAGAGGCCAGAGTCGGGCTTCCCTTTCTAAGCCACTCTAGGTTACTCTAGGAAATTCTGGATCTCAGCCTAATCTCCAGCTCTGCCTGGACCTTGATGCGGGAAGCGGGAGGGACAGTAGGGCAGAAGAGGGAAGGGGTGTGATGTCTTTCTTAGGGAAGAAAAAAGGCACAGTGATGAGCTAGAAAAGGTAGTGATGAAAGCAAGGATCAACTTTCATTCACCCTGAATCCTACTGCAAAGCTTTGACAGTCCAACCTCATTTTGTATGAAAGACAGACCCAGAAAAACAATGTGGTTTGCTCAAAGTCACATAGCTACTAAGTGCAATAGTGCTTTTGGTAAGACTAACTTGCCTCTCAACCTGTTTGAAAAGTTCCATTACCAGACCTGTCCCAATACTTCTGCTATGCCTTTCCCCCATACCCTGAGATGACAGAAAATTGCAAACGGGAGGTACGGAAGAACAGGTGACCAATAAACTCAAACAAGAGCCTGTTCCTTGGCCTATTCCTGGGGGCTGCTACAGTTCTACAAGCCAGGGCCCAGGGCAGTGAAGGCTCCCAACTCTGGGTGCCAAGTGCAGGGAATCAGGCCCTACTCAGTGCTGGGCACCACAAGAAAGCACTCACTCGTCTATCTGGAAAAGTGTGCTCTGAGGCCATCTGGCATCCCGAGGCCGCAGGGATCTCTCGGCTGGGATGAGGGATTAGAGAGGGGAAGGCCAGTGTTCATGCAGAAGGGAGAACCAGGGACTCCATCTCAGAGATGGGATTTGTGCTTCCTTAACAGAACCACGGACACGGCCGGCCCAGCACCTCCCCTCACTGCAGACCCCGCTGTGAGGAAAGCGTGGACCTCTTGGTTTGAAATCACTGTTGCTTGTTAAATTTAGAACTGCTTCTAAATAAATGGTAAATTTATTTAGAGGTAAATGCTCCACTCTTTCCAGCATGAAGCTTCTACAACGTCATCACCCTTCTTGTCACTGAAGGAGGCGGCTCCAAAGGTTCTCTTCTAGCCTGTGATTATCACACTCCCTGGCTTCCAACCCCTGTCCTCAGCATGGTCTGGACCTTACACACTCCTTCTGAACTAGTGTCATGATTTTTAAGGCACATTCACTAGAATATGTTCAAATCCATCCAAAAGCATGCATGCAAAACACCAATTCCTTCAGATAGTGCAGAATGGGAACTGGAAAACTAACCCCTTTCCTGGATGGTGTCCTCCCAATCAGAACCTTGAGAGAGCGAGCTGGTCCTTTCCCAGGCGTACTTTCTGATCGAAGAACATGAAATGCACCAACAAAATCCACAGGTGATCACAACTACATCCTTATTCCTTTCCTACTCATCCTTAGCAACATGATCATAATAAGAAACCTCAGCTGATTGTTTCCAGATTGCCCTTTTCCCCAAATACACACACACACAGACACACACAGAGACACAGAGCACCTTGGAGCCAGAAGGAAAGAAAAGCTAGAATTGCAGGAGTTGGGGAAGTGAACTTCACTGCTCTGCAGAAGAACTGTTTTGGGGCAGAGGGTGTAGAGTTTTGGGGTGTGGCCCCAGGAGTTGTTAGAGAATGGGGAGCAGTTACAGAGGAGCTGCCTAAGGTTCCAGCTGCCCGACACCCTTAGGGACTGCTCATTCCATCATCAAGTTCCCTGCCCAACCAAGGACCAGCTGGGTAGAGGCTGTGACGGGCAAGAACTCTTACTGTGGGAGAGGCTGAGCCCAGGTGGTCTCCAGGGGCCCTGGCAGCTTTATGAGTCTTTGGGCCCATGGCTCTGAGGCCAGTGGTCAAGGAAAACCAGCATCACCGGGAATGGGGTCCTAAAAACAGACCTTGTGAGGCTGGGTCTCGAGCAGGTGACTCAACTGCTCTTGCTTGTCACTCAGTGCCCAACAGAGGGTTTTGTTGCTGAGGTGACCTTCCCCACACCTAGACCGGAAAGCTCAGCCCATGTTTCTGAACGTACGAAAATATGCAGCCAACGCCCTCTCCTGTGTACCAGAGGAGAAAGCAGGGGACACAAGCTTTCCATTGTGCTTCTGTTTTTTCCATTCTGCCACCAGGATCCAAAATAAGCCTGTTCTACCTTAGAATTGTAGATGCAGAGAAACAGCTTGACCAGACTTTAGAGATCATCTAGTTTCCATCATCCTAAATGTCAGCGGGTCTCTTCTCAAAGTCAGGAAAAGAAGAACCAAACTGGGACCGTGGAAAGGAGGATGGCACCACAGTATGTCATTGAAAAGGGGCCAGCTCCAGTACAAAAAGTTCTAGTGCCCTCGAAAAGGCCCCAAATCAAGAGCTGTCTAGAAACTAGACCATGTTAACAAAAATGAGATCATTGGAGGGGCCTCTCACAGAGATGTATGCCCAAGTTGAGGGAAGATCCAGGCCAGAACAGGTCTGCCTTGCTTTAAGCACTCAACATAGGAAACCCTAGCCTACAAGGAGAGTGTGTTACTTCCACTTAGGTCAAAAGAACTCCTTGACCTCACTCACCTCACCTAACATGTCTAAAATATGACTTTTATGTTTTAAAAAAATCAATTTCTACATAGCCTTTCCAACCACATCTACTCTGAAGTAAGGAACAAGTCCTGCTTGCTTCCCACTGATTTCTGATCTCCATTTAGGCAAGTAGTCTCTGCCAGGATAAACGACAAACAGGCAAGAGCTTAGAGGTCCTAGGTCTGCAGGGTAAATGGTGCCATCCAAGGAGAAGGATGCAGGTGGAGGGAGAGACCAGGCCCAGCCATGGAGCACTCACACCCCACCTACCTATCACACCTAGATAGAGAAATGGGCAGCAGCCCTACTAAGCCTGTCAGGGAGGAGCCAGACAGCTTTCAGCAGCAGGGAACTGCCCAATTTCCTACTGAAATGGTTTCAATTTCATACATCAACTCTGATGTTTTTTAGTCTCTGGAATCAGGCAAAAGGGCAAGGGCCCATGGAATGGGCCCCAGAGAGGCCAGAGAGCAGGAGATAGCAATTTTGTAGGGGATGGTGGGAACAAAGAAATCAAGGGCGCTGAAGTTCTGAACTCTGCCACTAACCAGCCACGTGACCCAGGGCAAGTCCCATTTTCTGAGTGTGCGTCACCTAAAGTGACCAGTGTGTACTAGTTGATCTCTAAGGGTCCTGCCACCTCTCATCTCTTGTGATTCTAAAATACTCCCTGCTTTCCTCCTCCTGTCCCATTCCCACCCAAGAAGAACCACACAGAGAAGCCCTCAGCAACTATGACTTGGGCTGACTCAGTGGGAGCTGAAGCACAGGCAAGAGCACCTGGAGCTAGAAGTTTTTCCTGGAGCATGCCAGGGCTTAGGACTGGTGCCCTGCCAGCCAGAGCCCCAGGCATGCCTACCTATGTGCAGTGTGGGGCTGGTGACCTAGGCCCTGTCCACATTTCCTGGGGGTTGTACAGGGGCTGCTCAGCAGAGAGCTCCAGGGGCAGTTGACAGGGCTCCCAGGACAGGCCTGATGAGGGAACCTGTTCCAGACACCTCCTGCATGCTGAGCCTGTGGCCTGTGTGCCCCATCCTCTAAGACATCTGGCCTTGAGGGTCAGCCTCCTGCCACCCCTGCACAGAGAAAAACCTAGAGAAATCAAATAAGCTAGAACCCCAGGCCAACAGCCACTTCCCAGAGCCACAACCAGGTCCCTGCAATCCTGACAAGGTCCTGCCACTCACCTTGCCCCAACCTGTAGTTTCTCTCAGGCCTGGCTGAAGCCATCTCAAGTCGGAGGACTTTCTGTAGTTGTAGGGGCCAGGCTAGGCTACCAAACTCTTTGCTATGTAAAGTCAGTGTGCCCTACACATACTTTAACACACACATACTCATGTGTCCTTCACTGTTGGGGACCGCTGTCATCTGACTCCTGGGCTGAGTGGATGGCTGGGCCACAGCAGCCCTGCGTTGTGCTTCCTCTCCTGCTACACCCCTTCCTGCCTTCCCAGCTGAGGCAGCTGCCTAGCTTGGCAAACATGATTGCAGCAGGATACTAACCCAAGAGTGGGGGTGTGTGTTGATCTTGGGGCACAGAAAGAATTCCCTCTGGTCCCTTCACACACACCCCCACTTCTCTGCCTCAATGGTGGAGGCAGAGGAGCCAATTCTTGGCTGGCTTGGCCAGGGAGCCCACTGAGAGCCAAAGGTTCATCTGGCAGGAGGCCTATGTACAGAGGGTAGGCAAGGCTGTCTCCACAGGCAGGCAGGCAGCTCCTCTCCAGGCTGAGAACCCCAAAGGGCATGAGGAGGCCTCTACTCGCAGGCCAGCTTGCTGTCGAAGCTGGACAGGGCGATGGCAAAGGCCTGCAGCGCACACAATGGGTAGTTGTAATCCATGGTGAACACATCCTCTGCTACCCGGCCAAACTGCATCACGATGTAGTCCGCTGGAGCCAGGCACAGGCGGGGACAGAGAAAGACAGGACAGAGCAGGGATGGTGGAGATGGAGAAGGACAGACAGACATCCAAACCACAAGAAGGAAGAGAAAGTGAGATGCAGAGATGTCAAAGAAATCCCAAAGGGGAGAGACACAGACGCAGTGCAAGAAAAGGCAGGAGAGAGGAAGCAGGTGACAAAGGAGAAAGATATATATACAAACACCAGAAGACAGGGAAGAAGAGAAAAAGTCCATTCAAAAGGTGGACTCCCCACACCTGACACCCTGTTGAGTGCACAGGATCCAGGGTCGGGGCTCCAAAGGACTTCATCCAGGGCCTCCCAGTCATGGTTA